AGCAGATGCGAAAAAGAACTTGGAGGAAATCTAGATAGTTTAAAGGAACTATTGGTCAAGTTTCCATTCAGAATAAAGTCCCCCCTCTGTTGTATCCTTGACAGCACCGACTTTCTCAGGTGAGTGGGTATAGTATCAGGGATTTATGTGAGCAGTGGATCCATGATCTGGGCAAAAGATTGAGAAGCAACAACTCTCCTGGGTGACAGAAGGGCACAATCACAACAAAGAGATTGGCAGGAGCCAAACCACAACTCACAATCTACAGTGACTTGATATGTAGCACACAACCCATAATAACATGGCAAAAGTGAAGCAAAACTCCTCAAGAAATTGAGCATATGATCAGGAACTCAAGTAAACAGGATAGGTAAAACAGTCAAAGCCAAGAATGAATTGTGGATTTTAGATGATGATATACACATTAAGAAAGTAACTCTGCCACATCCTAGTCTGTCTCGGCTTTGTTGTACGTATTTACTTTAGTGTGGTTTCCATGTTCTTTTACCTAATTCAGACCTGTGGTCCTCTATAGTGATACTATTTTCCTCTTGTTCCCTCTTACTGTGGTGCCTCTATCAACAGCATCGTATACTTTGGGCCACTGATGTAAACATAAAGCTTTAAAAATGGGTATCTTAGCCTGGTCATGTTGCTGTAACAAAACACCTGAGACCAAGCAATTTATAAAGAACAGTTCTGGGAGCTGGGAACTCCAAGGTCAAGGTGCTGGCAAATTTGGTGTCTAGTGAGGGTCTAGCTTCTACTTACAAGAAAGTGCTTTGGAAGTTGTTCCCTTTGAAGCCAGGGAATCACTGTCCTCACTCTACAGAAAAGATAACAGGGCAGGAAAGAAAAGACAAAAAAAAAAAAAAAAAGGCCTAGCTAATTGTCTCAACTCCAGCCCTCCCTCTCTTTCATAAAATCACTAATCTTATTTCTGAGGGCTCCACCATTGATTTAAGAACCACCTAAAGTCCCCACCTTTTAAAACTGTTGCACTTAAGATTAAGTTTCAACATGAGTTTTGAAGAGGACACAGACATTCAACCATAGCTGTGGGTATGCGAAGAAGAGAGAAATGAATGGAATGGAAAATGATACATTGATCATGTCTCTCCTCTTTTTTCAACATCATCTAAATTATAGGAATTCAGAAAAGAAAATCATTGGGTGTCAATGGTTGACAATAGATTCATATATAAACTTCTCTCATTTTTGCTGGAACTTTCTATAATTTCTGTTTTATCCTGGGATAGGCAACAGCATAAAGTCTACAAAGCCAAAGAGAAGCAGATCTGAGGCCAAGCAGGACCAAAGCCCCCAGGAGCCCCCACAGCTGCATGCTCATCCTGAAGCAGAACTCACAATGGGGGACTTCGAATGGGAATCGAACACTCAAGCACCAAAGTCTGACCATGTAACACAGCAGTAAATTGGGCAAAAGCCTTCAAATATGATTGCCTGGTTCAGGTGGAGGTGACTAGGAGATAGCCTGGGGCAGCGTTGGGAGACAAACTTAGGGAATCTGGGGTGCTATTCAGGGTACCAAATCAAGCCAGAGAAGACTGCAGAGTCAAAGCAAAACCCTATCACATGGCCAGAAAAAGCAGAGGGTGTATATGGAGGATGGTGATACTGAGCTTGTCCTGGACCAGTGGCTATAGGACTTGATTGGCTATGACAAATCAATTCATTATTCCTTCAGTCAAGTATTTATCAAATTACTAACAAGCATCACACAACTGAAAACAGAATAGTGACTCAGAATACTTGAGAACACACCACAGATACCAAGTCTGGACTGTGAATGGTTTATAAGAAGACTTTCTTAGCAAAGTGAGATTTAAGCTAAGATCCTAAAACTGATCGAGAGCTGGTCAGGTAAAGACTGGGATTAAAATTGCTGCAGACAGCTGGGATGCAAACAGCTTGGACGAGAAGTCTTGGTGTAAATATAAGAGCCCACAAGTCAGCGTGGACTGGCTAGTACTGGACACCCTGGCCAGAGTCACAGAATCTTGACCGAGTTCCAAGCCCGCAGAGAATGGATGCTAATCTGAGTGCAGGCCTCACTGGGGCACATCAGTGGCCCCAGCTACATGGAGCTCAAGTCAGGGACACATTGTGACTTTCAGGGGCCCCAGGCACTTTAACCTTCTTTGTTTCTTCTTCCATTAATTTAAAAAAATTGTATTATATTTTATGATTGAGTTGGCATAAGAATGAACATCATCTAGACTATATTAAATTTAATTTTTCTTCCAATTTTAAAAGAATTAAATCATTTGGGGGGAGGGCCTTGGGCTCTGTGTCTCCTGTGCCTAATGAATAAATTAGCCCTGACTAGGGAAGGAAGCAGCATGGGCCTGAGTCCTCAGCTTGGTACAAAGAAACTGCTAAAAGGTCTACAGGACTGCGGGGAGACACTTGGGCTTCTTAGAAACTTTTGTTAACCTTCAAATGACAGAAAAATCACATCATATATTAGTGATTCTATAGTTCTATACACTTTTTGCGTTTTACAATTAGAAACTGTGTTTACATCTGATTTGAGCATCTGTGGGTATGGACTGTTTACCTGTTCGCTGGGACAGTCAAAGTGAAGCCAAGTGTTTGGTTCTCTAGTAGCCAAGTATATCTGACAAGATTAGGGGTCCTGAAGTTATTTTATTTTCCCTGAAGCTATTTATGTCCTGAGTTCAGTAACCCTCGTCTACCACGACTAGTGGTGTAACTTTGGGCAAGTTGTGCTAACTTTGTTGAGTCTCAGTTTCCTTCTCTGAAAAAAAAAACATTTACCCAGGTATGGTGGCACATGCCTGTAATCCTAGTTCTGGGAAACTGAGGTAGGAGGATGGCAAGTTTAAACCCAGCTTGGACAACTTAGCAATTTATGTGACCCTGTCTAGAAATTTTAAAATGTATAAAGGGCTGGGGATGTAGCTCAGTGCAAAGGCCCTGAGTTCAATCCCAAGTACCATAAAGAAGGGAGAGGAGGAAAAAGAAGAGGAGGACTTATTCTCAAATATTGTTGTAAAATATAAGTGAAATAATAGATTTAAAGCACTGTTACATCTTTTATAGTAGTTTATATATATTTACAATTTCTTAAAACTATGAAGAGGGCAGAAATTTAGGATACCATCAAAACTGGAGGATTTTCTGCTTCCATGTATATGGGCAGCTGGCTGGGCTGAGTGTGTGTGTGTGTGTGTATGTTTCATTATTGTAGCAAAATACCTAAGATAATCAACTTTAAAAGAAAAAAGGCTTATTTTGACTCACAGTTTGGGGAGTGTCCGTGCATGGTTGGTTAGCCCTGTTGCCTTTGGTCCTGTATTGAGACAGTGTGTCACGTCAGGAGAGTGTGGCAGGGGAAGCCCATTCGCTGCATGGTCAGGAAGCAAAAGAAAGACAAGTAACTGGCATCCCCTGTCCTCACTGTGGCTGACTACAGATCTCCCATCAGGCTCTGCCTCTTAATGTTTCTGCCACACACCAAGACCACTGAGCTGAGGGGGCTAGATGGGTTTTTTTTACTTGTAGGTTTAGAGGAAAGCTAGGTTTAAGAAAAGAGGAACAGAGCTGGTATTAAACATTCTGCCAGCCAGCGTCCCTGTAAGGACTGACTGTGTAGACCAGCATTCTTAGGTGGCAGTCAGGGTAAAAATGGGTTTGGTCTCTTGTGATCTTTGGAAGTTTTCAGTGGTCACAGGTGAAAATGAATTCTGAACATCTCTGAGTAGATTTCTTGAAATATATCTGGCAAATCACCAATAAAACTTAACTGAGTTCATCTCATATCTGGAGACCCTTAAAGCCACTATCATAAAACTCTACTAATGAAAGACTTTCTTATTGATTGCAATCATTATTGGCTCAGCCCACCCAGCAGAAAGCAAATATGCATTATACCCCTTGAGAAAACACATTTCAGAACCACATCAATTTTATGAGACAAGCCTAAGAGATGAAAGCATTTATTTAAAGTCCCATTGTGATTTTTTAGGAGGCCTGCCTCAGCCAGAAAGAGTCCTACAGTCCAGAAAACTCCAGAGCAGCAAGCTGCTAAGACTCATGCAACCTGGCAAAGGCCACGTGATCTGATTCAAAAGATGCTCTGAAGCCAAGTATCCTAATTTGCTATTTCATTCTGTATTAAAATTTCACTTCTATTAACTCAGCATACCAACTACTGATATGAAAACAAATGAATTCTTAGTCTTACATCACAAAGAACTGCAGTTTATAATGAAATAAGTGCCCATACTTAATTGCATAAAATTATTGTGTTTCCTTATTACAAAGGTACCTAATTAAGCAAAGATTTTCATTTCCCTGATGTCACAGGCAGGGGCCAGGGGGACACTATTCTAAGCACATAGCTGTCTCTTAGGTACATCAAAATTTGCACTGTGCAGATATCTTTAGAGATGAAGACTTCAAATGAGGCAAAATATAGATTTGGTGAGAGGTTTTAAACAGGAAAAAATAGAGAGATCTACTTAGTGACAATTCTTCAGGTACCAACTAGGGAATTCTCCCTGGATCTGTTCACACTTTTTAATTCACTCTGCCTACATAAAAACATGCTTTAAATTCTCAGCATAATAAATATTATATATAATAAATATTATAAATTTAATAATAAATATTATTTAACTTTAATAAATATTAAATTTTATATATTTAAATATATAATTATATAAACATTATATATAAATATAATATATGTATATATATATATATTATATATATATATATATAATATATATAACTTCTGTGGAAGTATTTACTATGCCAAAACTTGGAGACATACTAAATATAATACTAATAATTATGATATTGTTAAATTTATAAATAAGATAAATTTTAATTAAATAATAATATCACTCCTGGTAAAGGTATGGCTAAATTTATATCTTCATGCATTGTTAGTTATAGTTGGTGCTACCTACTCGGGAAACAATACAAAAATGTCATCATTAACCTTACAGATATTTGGTACACTTTCACCTGGTGATCTGGAGCTCGATCCTATTACATCAGCCCAAAACAAGAGAAAGATCTATGTGTGAAGATGTCTTTGAGGGAACACTTTCAGAAAAAAACCCACTTTGGGCATATGCTTACTTTTCATACATAAGGCAAAAGATATTTCTGGTAAGTACCTGGCAACACTCAAGCGATGTCAGAAAGAGTCTTTTACTTCATCTATTATTACAGTGTGTAATATGATCAAGTAAAATTAGAAGCATTTGCAGTCCCCAGTACCAAAAAAAAAAAGACATTTTATCTCGGAGCTCCCTATTCATATACAATTCTGATTGAAAAGATAAGGCCAGAACCATAAGACTACAAGATAAGAGACATGTCTAGCTACATCAACTCTCATATTAGATGTTAATAAATGGATAAGTATATCAAAACATCACATGTACAATAAAAATGTTAGTGAACTAAACACTCTAATTAGAACATGGTAACTCTCATACTTGATTAGTGTGAGATTGAACCCAGGGTCCTACACATGCTCAGCCCCAGCCCAGACTCTAATTTTCTTTAAAAAATGACTCAACAATTCAATTATATGCTGCTCACTGGAGACATATTTTATATGTAAGGATCCAGAGATATTGAGTAAAAAAGATAGAAAAGATATTATTATTCAAATTCTAAAAGTAAGAAAGCTAATGTAGTTAAGTAGCAGACAAAGTAGAGTTCAAGATAAGGAACTCTCATCAGAGATAAAGAGAAATATTTTATAATGGTTAAAAAAGTCAATTTACTAGAAAGACATGATAATCTTGAATTTGTATGTCTATTAACATAAGTTTCAAAATATACAAAACGAAACTGTAGACCTAAAGGAGAAATAAAACCACAATCAAGGGTGGGTAACAATCTTCAAACCATGATATATCATTGATAATGTAGCTCATGATCATTTTGAAATGGCTTAAAACCCATACTTGAAAGAAAGATTAAAGTCCCCTTATGTTGGAAGAAAATAAAGGATAGACCTTAGATTGATACGTTAGTGATGGAAGCTGAGGCAGGAGAAACAATTCTCAGATCATACGGGAGACAGAATAAAAGAAAAAAGAGAGAGAGAACAAATAACAAGAAAGAGCAGGGGAAATTTTGGATGGTAAGAAGCAAAAGCAGAACACAGTTTAAGTGCTCATTTCAATACTTGCTGAGGATTCCTCAAAAAGCCACTACACTTCTCTAACACTGTATTCTGACATTTGGAAAAATTCAAAAAAGAATGTGTTTTAGGTTGATATGAAAGTTAAACACATAATATATATGAAAAGTGCTGGCAACACATTATCTCCTCTTTCATAATTTCCTGATAGTAATTCATATATTCAAGATTTTTGTTTGCTTGTTGTAAAAGACCAGAGAATTAAGTAGACAAAATCATTGTGGAAGAAAAATGACTTCTTTAGTTCTGAGAGAATACAGAGAAATTCAAGCTCCCCACCCTCTAGTTGTTTCTCATGGCTACTGCTTCCTTTGGCAAAGTAAAAATAGGCCCCGAATCTCCTTCATTAGAGTTGGTACTAGTGTTCTGGCTTCCTATGTGCTGCCTATGCTGTCTAAGGAATTAGACGTCTTAGAAATTTACTAGAATTTTACTAGACCTTTGAGTGGTTATCTGTTCATTGACTGACCCCAGACAAGATCTTAGATAAAGATGTATCTGAAAGATATTTCTCTTTCTTCAGAATTTCCAGAGGAGGCTAAATTCCCTCCATTCTTCCTTAGAAGTACATTGCTGAGTCTCCTGTCTTCCTGTCAGGAAGTCCTTCCTGTCTTACCTTCTGTCAGTGAAATGACAGAGCAGTGAATTATAGAGCAGAATCCTATAAACCTGAAGCAGAGTTCTAATGGGTTTTAGGGCCTGACAGGAAGGAGAGCTTTAATGTACTTTAGAAAATCAGGAAAAATTATTTGGCAAGTAGTTTTTATTCCTGGCCCTGCAAAATGGGTGAAAAGGGGATTGCAAATGATCAAAGGCTGAAGCCCATAGAGAGGAGCAGATAACAGGCAAGGCAGTGGGGGTGCAGTGGGGAGGAGAACAGAAAAGGTGACAGACACCATATTGTAGAGGATCCCATATATCAGAAGGAAAGACTGTTGGCTTTGTTCCATAACTAATGAGGAGTCTGCAGAAATATAAGGTCAGGGATGAATTTTAGGATGATTAATCTCGCAGAGAAATGTGTGGGCTGCGAGGAAGTGGGATGACAGGTGAAAGATCAATTAGGAAGTTCTTTCAGCCATGGAGGTAAGACTTTCAGAGATGCAGATGTCAGGGAAAACAACCACAGAGGAGTCAAAGGCCAGCACAAGGACAGAAAGAGTTCTGATTCATCTTTATGTATGCAGCTGGACCTCAAGGACCATTTATTGAAACAGTGCTGCTGTTCAGTTGCAAGATCTGACAATAAAGATATGAAGAAGAAAGAAGAATCAAAATGGATGATGTTCAGAGAGAAAAAGAATATAATAGACAATAAACATACAGAGTGTCGCTTAAAGAAACGCAGACTCACTTTGAAAGTGAGTCTACTTGCTAAATTACACTAAATACATGTCCAGTTGATGTTGCATTGCATAACATGGCATCTTCTAATCTGAGAACATCGCATTTACTTGATTCTATTATCCCAAAGAAATGCCATACAGACCAAATAAAAAGAAGTCCAGAGAAGAGTATTTTGAGCATATCCTCACAATAAGCTAATGTAGTTGAGGATCTGATAAGTACCAGGCACTACCATGTTTCCCCAAAAACAAGATCTACCTCGAAAATAATCATCCTTGAGAACTAGAGATCAGAAATGACACCTCACATCACCTTGCCATTCCTGGCCATTACAGAGTAGCCAGTAAGCAAGAAAATAGTGAAGTATAATCTGCACGGCACTGGGCATCACCATGGTAACAACCTGTGGTTGTTTCCAGGTGTCTTATTTTTAGGAGAACACAGTATGTTAAGCACTGTATGTGCATTATTTTATTTAAATTCCTAGATTACTCGGATACAGAAACTGAGGTTTAGTTAAGTCACAAAGCCAGGCTCTGAGCACAGGCAGTGTGACCCTAGGAGGTGGGCTACCTTTCCGGGCACACTGAAAAAATCATGCCACCAGTAAAACTGAAACAAATGGGGGCACCGTGGGGCAGGCTCTTCAGTGACTTAAAACCAAATGTCACCAAGTTGTCAGAGAAGCAACTCTATGTTTTCTAGGACAGGCTGTTCCAAGCCAACACTGTAGTTTTAGCTTTAAGAGGGTATAAAAGTACCCTCTCCTGGGAAGAAGGGTTTGGGAGTGCGCGCCATCTGTCACTTCTAGAATCAGAGACAGCACAGGGAGGTCAATCAACGTGGAGCTTTGCTGGAGAAACAGATGTGAGTTAACAAAGTAAGTGAGGAGAGGTAAGGGAATTTCGTGGAAAATTTTGAAATGGCTAAAGGATCAGGACCAGAACCGCTGTAACCTCCATTTTTATCTCACAGGCTGCGCTCCAGGTTCCGATTCTCAGAGAGAACATCTGATTGGCCAGGCTTGGGTCACGTGACAACCCCCTGGGGAGGGCGGAGGCCTCCTTTCCACAAAGAGAACTCCTTAAATAGAACCCGTTTCTGCTACTGAAAGAGAAGATAATGAATGCTGGACAGGCAAACACTGCAAGCGCCTATGACACTGCAAGAAGCATGAGTTTCCTTGGCTACAGAGGCGTCCAGGCACTTGCAGAGGAATCACTCCAAGCCTTGCAGTAGCACACAAGGAGTTGAAAAAGTGACTCTCCCAATGCTCCAGTGCCGTTAGATTTAGTTATAATCATATGTTGCAGTGTCATCAGGCAAGCAGCATGTGAAATCAAAGTAGGAACATTTCATTTTAAACTTTGCTGATTTTTCAGATTTGCTTTGCATTCTTGATAATGATTTCTTATCCTGCTTTTATGTCTCCTCAGATAAAGTGCCATCATACATGTTAGCCCCATTAAACATAAAGTAAGCATTATTGATAATTATAATCAGGGTTATGATGCATTAAAAACAGGAAAGAAGATTATTTGCAAAGAGCTTTGCAAAGCCTTAGAAGTTGGAGATTAGTTTGTCAAACTTTTGTTGTCTCCATGCCAAGGGATACTGAGGACCACTGAGGCAAGCTAAAAAATCTCTGACTTACAGGGCATACAGGGAAGTGCCCAGCTGTATCCTGGGTTCTACCACAGAATGATGAGGCCTTCGTTTAACAAATCCTTCTTTGACAAGTTGAATAGAGCAAGGCCCTCATATCTAAGCAAAATATCTCAACCTTACGGAGGGATTAGGTGGGATTCCAGGATAACTTGGAGTATAGAATGGATGGCAGATGACTTATAAAAGACTAAGTTAGTGCAATGCCACATTTTATCAGCAGGCAAAACAGTTGTTAACGCTTAATGTGCAACCCCTGGTTTGTTTTGTTTTCTTTATTTTTTTCTTATCCTCCTGCCATGGGCTGAACCTTCCTCTGTACTGACAAAGATTCACAAAAATGCTTTGGGAAAAATTACATTGAAATGGAGGTGGGGACACAGGAGAAAAGTAGAGTAGAAGGGGAAAAAACCTGAAGCTGTCTTTTAGGTTTCCTGACAATAGAGTCACTTTAAGATTTGCATTGACAATGTGCTAGAGCACAATTAGATAAAAACCGTAAGACCCAAATAAGAGTATCTAGTTGGGGCTGGGGGTTTAGCTCAGTGACACGTGTGCCTGCCCAGAAAGTATGAGGTCACGAGTTCAAACCCCAGTACCCCGCAAAAGAGTGTTTAATTAAATTATTGCTACTGCATATTTTTCATTTACTGAAAGATAGATAATAAGGAGAAAAATAATCTCACATGGGAAGAGGATTAAGAAATGAAGAGAGGGGAAAGTGCAGGTTGGAAAGGGTTAAAAAAAAGAAAACAAGAATTAGGATGTGTCAACTACCAGCTCCCCACATGGAACATGATAAAAAATTAAAACTGCTAAGAGAATGATATTTCAAGCCACTAAGGGAAATGGTTCTCCTAACCCACACAACAGTGAAAAGCAACTACCATGTGTGAGTGAATCAAAATGCATTGGATGCTGCATTGAAGCTGGCCATGGCAGGAGGGCGGAGAGAGGGAATAAACAGTCTCACTGAATCACTGAAGTTTTAGGAACAAGCTCATCATACGGGTTAAGGGATAAACTAAACATTGCTGAACAGAAGAATTAGAGAATAAGGGTAAATCTAGTAAATTACTCAGAAACCCATGTAAGCAAACCTGTACACATCAAGGACAAATGAACAAATCTTAAATTGTGCCAGTGAGAAAGACAAGATTATCAACAAAAGAACAATAGGCTGCCCACACGTTTCTCATAAACAATAATAGATGCCCAAACGTGGAGTAAAATTCTCAAAATGTGGAGGAAAAATAATGGCCAACGAAGAATTCTATGTCCCGACGTGGCTGAGATCACACCATGGAGCCCCACACATCCCGCACTTCCGGCTGGGCCTGCAGGTTGTGTTTCCCACCTTGCACCGGGGTGAGGGGTTTGGATTTCTGACTAATGCAATGTGATAGAAGTGATGGATTTTCCTGGGGAGAAATATACAAAATCCCACAGAAAGTAAAAAATGTCCACCAGTGCTTTCCCAAAAACAATTGAAGTATGGCAAAACTGTAACACAGAAGAAGCAAAATATCTCTAAGTCATTGTTTTGAAGCAAAACACTCAAGAGAGCCATCCGACATGTCTGACATATTTTACCCAGTTTAGATTGGGACAGAGATGAGATTTATTTTTTAAAGTTTGAGACAGGATCTCACTATGTAGTTCAGGCTGGCTTTGAACTTATTGTCTCTACGCTCACTATGTAACCCAGGATGGCCTTGAACTCCTGCTTTAGCTTCCCAAATCCTGGGGTTACAGGCATGCATCACCACATCATCAAGAATTTCATTTTGTTTGTGTTAAACCATGGAATGTAACAATGAAACTGATGGAAAACGAAAGCCAAGGATACTGGCGTAGTTAATCACTGTGCAGATGGACCTAAGGCTCAGGATAACAGCTGGAGACTGCCATTTAACCCAAAACACAGCCCTGGATAATCATGGAAGAATAAAGGTAAGCCTGGGGGGCGCGGGCTCGGGATTTAGCTTAGCGGCATAAGCACCTGCCTTGCAAGCAGGCTGTCGTGAGTTCGATCCCCGGTACTGATAAAAAAGAAAAAAGACCAAAAAAAAAGGTAAGCCCGGGGCAGTTGTGGGTACCCGTAGTCCAAACTGAGGTAAGAGGATCACCTGAGCCCAAGACCCTGAGACCAACCTCTGCGACAGTGAGACCTCTTCCCGGGGTGGAGAGACGAACGCTCGGTTACTGATGGATGTAGTTCAAGGAAGAAGGAAATTAATCTTAAAAAGAAGTATGGAAAGCCAGTAGAGACAAAAGACATCAGTTGTATATATTTCTAAATCTAAATAAAAATTTATAGCCAAAAGACAGAACTAAAACATTTGATTAAAATGTAGAAAATTGACGAGGGGAATGCAGACAGAAGTTTATGCAAGCCTCGCCTTTATATTATTTAGGACAGGGATAACATATTGATTTTGTGTAGACTTTCTTAGCAAAACAATGTTAAATTTATTGGAAATTTATTGGAAACAAGGTTCAATTTATGCTTGAAATTTAAGTTCTGTCCATAAGAATACAAGGAGGAGGCACTGGCCAGTATAGCCCAGAGTGACTGACTAAGTCCCCCAGTTTTTCTGGTTTTCCTATAGTTTTGATTCTTCAAGATCAATAAACACTGATAAGAAAATTAATAATTCCTAATGGGGAAAGAGACAGGAAAAGGAAAGACAGACAAATGAAGAAACTCTTAGGTTGTAAGAGAACATTTGCTAGCTGGTGTTACAGGCAGCTGAGCCAGTTAGAAACATTATAGGCAGTCAGACAGGGCTAGGCCCTCCAAGAAGCTGGCACAGAGGACCAGATGACTGATGACCTTGGAGGAGACACAGACCTCTTGCTATGGACCAGATCTCCAAACAGAAGACACACACCTCTTACTGTGGGCCAGATCTCAAAACAAATGCAAGCACATCCTTAAATATAATCCTTAAGGATTAAATCTAGATTGCCTTGAGAAGCAAGTCATAATCCCAGTCCCCTGTAGGAAGAGTCACTGATCCATAAAGAATGCTCCTTTCTACATGATTTTCTTCCCCATTTGTCCCTGATTTGGTCAATTTTACCTCAGCAATTAATCTTATTGGTTGACCACAGTCCCACATTATGCCCATTTTGCAAATTCCCATTTTCCCCTACCTTTGAGCCATATAAACTCATGATTTTGCTCTATAAAAGTCCCTGGAAAATACAGAGTCCTTGATAACCTACTTGGGACCCTTTTGACTCTCTTCATACAAGAGCTTTCTCTCAATAAATATATTCTACTCTTCACCTACGCTGTTCCTAAAACTTATTCTTCAATTTTAGAGAACACGAGCTCATACTGGACATAGTAGGTTGGGAGTTTCATTCCCCTATATCATTGGGACAGGACTTTATTTGTATATACAAATACAACTGTGACCCTGCTGTTTTGAATATGTGCTTTGTACCCAAATCCTGACAGAGACTTGGGCTTTATAAAGCACAACAGTTATCATTCTATTAAAGGAGCAGAGAACAGCTGAGTTAGGGTGTAGCTCAACCACAGAGTGCTTGCTTAGCATGCACAAGGCCCTGGGTTCCATCCCCAGCACTGTAAAAAAAAAAAGCAGAGAACAGTTGAGCAGTTTCTGAAAATGGTAAATATATCATTATATTATGATAGATACATACCCAAGGTAAATGAAAACATACTTCCATAGAAAAACTTGTACATAAATTTTCATAGCAACATTTTACAAAACACTCAAAAAGTATAAACAACCCAAAATTTCTTAGACTGATAAATGGATAAACTAGAGCTGGTATATCCACATAATGGAATGTTATATAGTCAGTAAAAGGGAATGGAGTGCTGACACATGCCACAGCATGATTGAACGTTGAAAAGCCAGTCACAGACTGCCGCCCTTCCAGGGGGAGAACCACCAGCAGCTCCTGAGATCCGCGCCTAGTTAGAACTTAGGACGCTTTGAAACCAAACAACCAGCCTGCCTTCCTGCTAAGCAATAGTGAACCTACTGATGCATGGCCTAAAGTCAAACATCCCACTTTCCCTATCCACCTTCTCCTGTCTCCCCCTTTAGCAAATGGGAACCAGAAATCTGAGCGTCTCCTGGGAAGTTGACCATAGCAAATAAGGGGTACTTCTTCTACCATCTCTTTGAAGGCAAATATTTTTATTACTGATTTGCTCTATTCTGATTAATGATAGTGCTCTATTCAATATTCTGTTTTGATAAGTTCTATAATGTTCTGTATTTCATCTCATTTTGATATACGTGATTGAAAGAACAACTAAAGATAACGAAATATACTGTGATACCTATTACTGTTATCCCAGTAACCTGCTGTGAAGTTCTGTACCGATTTCACTGTATGATCTTAGTTGGCTTTATTCTGTCTTGTTCTGTTGTATTTACCACTTTCAAAATAAAATTTTTAAAAAAACTGAAAAAAGAAAAGCAGGTCATAAATGATGCATATTGCATAATTCCATTTATATAACATGTCTGGAATGAACAACACTACAGAAAGAGAAAGTAAATTAGTGGTTAAGTGTAGAGGGCATGGGGGAGAAGGATAGTAACTGCTAATAAGTACAGTTTCTCTTGGGAGTGACAAGTTGTCCTAAAATTGTATTTTGGTTGCACACCTCTGTGCATATACTAAGAACTATTGACTTCTACCCTTTAAATGGGTGAACTATAATATGTCTGAATCAGATCTCAGATTCTCCACAAAAAACACATTATCAATCACAGACCTGGAAAAAAATTTATAAAAAAGCTTGGAATATTATTTTCAAGCTTGAAATAAACATTAATAATTTATTTCATGTATTTGGTAAG